ATATGCACTCAGAGTCTATTAACCATCAGGTTATTGCATAAGTCCTATCTATATAATCTTTTGCTGATGAGGGTGAATAAGGGGCAGTTGATTGTTGGGAGTGGATAAACTTCTTGCCTCGGTGGGAGTCTCATTAGTTTATTTGTTATCAATTAGTTATTCTGTTTCCATGTGCCCCCCAGAGACCCTGATGCACACATCTTCAAAATATGAAAGTAAAAAAGAAAAACCCATGGGAAACAACTCTTACTCCCATGTTATGGTCCTGCCCACCTCCCTTCTGAGGTTGAGTGCTGCTCCCTGCCTTGTCTTTCTTTGTTCTCAACTTTTCCATATAGCTTGGGTAGCTCTCCAGCTGGAGAGAAGGGAAAGGACTGCCTGGAGACAATATAGTTTAGCACTGCATCTCCCAATGCCTTTGCCTCCTTGCTTGTCAGTGCCATAATACCAAATAATCTGAATGCCTGATGTAAAATGGAAGATGAGAACACATTTTGAATTACAGAAATATAATAACCCTCAGCTATATCAATGTTTATTAATTATTTGGGACACTGTGCATGTAACACCAAAGCAAGCGATTCTCATTCTTTCGAAGGGACAAATGGCCTGTATTTTTAAAACAAATGTCTCCCATGCAGTTTATTAGATTTTGCAGGACAATGAAGGTGTTTTCAGGCTAGAGTAAATTAGTTTTACTGAGTTACAAGGTGGGTTGAAGCACACATTCTATATGGAAACTGTGTGTAATTAAATAGCATCACTAGACTCAGTGTTGTATTGCACGTATTTCTTTTTGATTTGTCCCTTCCACAGGAGACTATTTGGCCTTCTAGTGCAGCAGTCTACCTTTAATAGTGGTCAATTCCTTGTGCTTTAATAAGATAGCACTACAGTGCTCCTGATGTGTAGCAGCAAACACCTAAGGAAGATGGGGAAGAAAAAGGGTGAAGTTATACTGCGGTGTTGCAGTGAGATACTGAACCCTTTAGAAATTTTGGGCATGTTTTCTGATGAATGGTCTTGAGCCAAAGCCAAGTGAAGTGAAGGATAATCCTTGGATCGACTTCAATAGGCTTTGCGTCTGGCCCTATGTTATTATGAACGAATGTGTTTTTTCAGTTCCTATTTTCTTTATTTATTATTTTAAAAATTCTGCTTCTTTGGAGATGGGAAACGCTTGGGACACCTATGGCTGAAAACCCATCCTGGTTCATCAGTGAAGGCAGCAATCAGATACTAACAAAAACACATTTAAGAAATGGAAACACAGAGGACACAGATAGAAATCCATATATATTAGAAGCTATGGATTGTAGAAAATTGTTAAGAGAAGTGAACGATATCAAGGAAAAATACACCGCTGGAAGGGCTAAGGACAATACAAAGGAGTTTTAAACTGCATTAGGAACAAAAGAAGTTTTGCTATTGGTATAGGCCCTTAACTCAGTGGAAATAGTAACATTGTTAATAATGATGAAAAAAAGGCAGAAGAGTTAACTAAGTATTTCTGTTCTGTATTTGGAAAGAAGCAGGATGGTCTACTTGTATCACACCAGGATGATTAATTCCTTTGCCATACAATTATAATCTAGGTGGATGTTAAACAACATCTATGACGGATAAACATTTCTATATCAGCTAACTTGCTCTCAAACAGTTACCAGAGGAGATCTCTAGGCCCCTAGTGTTAAATTTTAATAAACCTTAGAATACTGGATAAATTCGAGAAGATGGGAAGAGTGCTGATGTTGTGCCAATATTGAAAAAGGGGAAGCAGGATGATTCCTGTCATCAATGCTGGGCAAAATAATTGAAAAGCTAATACAGGGTTCAATTAATAAAGAATTAAAGGATAGGAATATAATTAATGCTGGTCAACATGGTTTTATGGAAAATAGTTTACTTATCAAACAGACCTAATTTCATTTTTTGAACAGATTACGTTTGGTTGATAAAGATAATGCTGTAGCTATAATATATTTTGCCTTTTTAAAGACATGTAATGTAGTAGGGCATGACATTCTGATTAAAAAATTATCACGCGGCAATACCAATAAAGCACATGTTAAATGGATTATGTATTGGGTAACTACACATCTCAAAAAGCAGTTGTCATTGGGAGTCCTCGTCTAAAGGAGTTGTTTCTAGGCACCACCATTGGGATTGGTAGCAGGCCCAATTCTATTCAACGTTTTCATCAATGATCTGGAAGTAAATATAAAATCACTGCTGATTAAAATTTGCGGATAATACAAATATTAGCAGAGTGGTAAATAATTATGAAGATGGTGTCATACCAAGTGAGCCAGATCATGCTGTAAGATGGTCCCATTAAAACAAAATGTGTTTTAATACAGCCAAATATAAAGTTATGCATCTAGGAACAAGGAATGCAGGCCATACTTATAGAATGGGAGACTGTATCTTGACTCTGAAAAGGATTTAGGGGGTCAATGTGACCCTGTGGCAAAGAGAGCTAATCTGATTTTTAGATGCAAAAATAGGGGCGTAGTGAGTAGGAGCAAGGAGCTTGATATTTATCTCTGTATCTGGCATCGGTGAGACTGATATTAGACTACTGGTGTCTTGTTTTAAGTTTCAGAGTCGCTAGAAACTGCACAGCCATAGTATATGGATGGGTAGCCATTGTGGGTTCAGACAGTGACATGGGCATGAATAGACATGAAGTTCAGACTACAGGGATGGAACCCTGTGGTAATCCAGAAACATTCATTTGACTTGCACTTCTGAAAATGCCAGTTCTCTAACCTTTGTGAACTTGGAGTGGCTTGTTTGACTAAGTAAGTGCTCTTTTTGGTTGCTTTAGTCATCTGGTTTCCTGGCCTCTTTTGTGTTTATGGGCTTTATCCGATGGTTTCAGGCAATTGTCAAAGACATACTATATAATGAGAGAGGTTATATTGCAGGGGCAGGATTTTAGAATTGCACTATAAGAATTAATGTATAATTTGATTTCATCCTGCTAGCCACCCCATTTGAATAGCAGAAAGGAATGACCCTTTGGGATTATGAGATTCTGTTTTCCCATATGCATTACAAATTGGGCATTCTTTGTTTTAAGGTTTAGTTAGTAAGAGACAGGATTCTGTATTGTGTCTATGTTAAGTAGATTAGAGGAACACTGAAGGCCTGGGTCTCAATGTAAATTGTCTTGGTTATTGATTGTAAAACTTAGCAAGGTTTAATTTGCAATGCCTTTTTGCGCGATATTAAATACTACTGTTTGTATTCTCAAAGTCTCTGTAAAAGACTGTTTGTGTGAATGAGGAATGCATGCATCATGAAAAGATAAGGTGTGAAGGCCATTGTTAACCAGATGCTCAAGAAAGGAGGAGCGAAGACACTTATCGAGATTTGTTGACTCCAAAGAACCATCAACGCATATCCATGATTGACGAAGGGCAAATTGACAACCCTGAGGTGAAGGCTGGCACCCCTAAAGACAGTTGATTAAATTGAAACCAGGAGAGGATGACCCTCTCAGAGGTATTTTGGAATGTTAACACCAATCAAGGAGTAACTGGTCAGAAACTGACACTTCAACAGAGAAAAAGGACTATAAGAACAGGGTGCTTTGCCACGGGACTTTGGGTTCATCTTGCCACACTCCAGGAGCATTGGATTGCGGCCGACAGAGCCCTGCTCCCCATCTGGCTGTCCACTAGATTGATCCAGACTCTGGACTGGTAACTATAAACATCGACTCGCAGGACTGTGTGTGTGAGATTGACAAGCATATGCTAAGTGTTGTATTCTCAATAAATGCGGCGTGCTGCCTTCTTCCCTATAAAGCTCCTGTGTGCTTCTTATAACAATATGCTGAAGTTAATAATTAAGCTAGCTTCAAGGCAATGGCAGTCTGTGTGACAAAATTATCACAGTGAGAGTGATTTTTTTTAATAGCATTTTGAGCTGTTTTGAAAATGGAAAATAAATTTGCAAACTTTTAATGCAAATGTATTTTTTTCTGTTTTCCAGTATTGTCAACCCAAACATTCAAAAATCACGTGTCAGCCCCACTCAATGCCAAATCCTGAGATGGGCTTAAAAATCAGTTCTTTTTTTAAAAAAAAAAGCCACTTTGAGGAATTTAGTATTTGCCTTTAGGGTGTACTCAGGGTCAAGTTTTCAAGATCTTCTCTGCAACCAGGAGGGCTAGAAACTTACTTTTTGTTTTAAATGAAAGCTGAGCTTCATCACTGGTTTCAGTTAGCCCGGGCTCTAGTTAAAGGACCAAATGTCCGGGGACTTGTACAAAAAAAATCACACGAGTCGTTAACACTGGTGTTTGGAAGAAATTTTGAAAAATGTCCAGCTGGGTTGACTGGGGTTTGCCCTTTCTGGGCAATGTATTTCTGTGAACAGGGTGCAACTGATGCTTGGATAGGGCAGCAGTGTAGTCTTTGATATATCTGGCAGCGATACATAGGTATGGTTAAGGAAATAACCCGCACCTGCACTGACATGTAAGGTCCACCTATTTTGAGCAGGTGAAGATGGGATTTTAATATCAAAAAATATATCAGACTAACTGTTTTGCACTGATTTCTTTTGATTCACAGGTGCTCGTGAGTAGATGGTGGCTGTAACATAGTAAAAAGAACTGCATACGCTTTATTTAGACGGCTCATTCATTTGCAAGGCTGTCTTTCAGTGGAATAAACAAAAGCTCAGGCCACTCCCTTCAATTAGCAACAGTTTTCTAGTGCAATCCCCAAAGATTTAACACCATCTTGATTTCTTAGGCACAGGCAGGGCTTCAGAGAAGTCCCCTCTTTCATTTTGGATTTTGCCTTTTTCCTACAAAATGTGAACGTGTACAAAATTCACCAGTAGGCCAGATTTAAGCCTCTTCTTCCCTAATCACTTATCTCTCTCTATTTTTTTAAACAAAATCTTGATGTTAAAAAATGTTTTTGCAATGTCTCCACTGGCCTTCCCTTTCCCTGTGGTTTTGTTACAGTCCATCGCATAGGAAATAATGTTTAGTTGCAGCATTGGGTTATTTAAGCCAACATTTTTCTTTGCTTATGCTCAAATAAATTGGTTAGTCTCTAAGGTGCCACAAGTCCTCCTTTTCATTTTTCTTTTTAAGCATTTATATCATGCTTGCTACTGTAATAGCTGAGCACCATATAATTGCTTAAAGAAAGGCACAGGTTCTTCTTTCCCCCGCTGCAGAGATTTTTTAATGGTTTTGTTTTTGTCCGGTCATGGCTCAGAATGCTAACAGCAGCAGCAAAAACGTCCCTGTACCAAGGGGACTGGGATAGGCAATGAAGCTACTGGATGGCATGATAATTGTGGCTGACTCAGACAGGTATGATGCAGAGGTCGTTGTGTATGTGTGTGCATCCCAGAATAAGTAGTTTGAGCAGCAGCATCAGGCTATAGCGACGTAGGAGCGGGATGATGCAATTCACAGAGGACAGCCCCTGGCATTATCTATCTCAGAGGCTACTAGAAGTATAGCAAGACACGGGTTGAGGGGAGGAAGGGACGGGGTAGGCTGCATGGTGTTTGGGGTGGGGAGGGGGGAAGACAGGTTGGTAGTTAGGATGAAGAATAAACTCTTAGGAAGTGGCAGCATTGGCAGAGGGGGTGACTTTAAAATTGATCTCTGGCCTGTTTTCTATAGCTTAAAGTGCTTTGCTGCTTCTGAAAGAGAGACAGTGTCCCTTTTGCAAAACAGCGAGTCAGGAAATGCAGTAGCTTTCAGATCAGAAATAGGGTGGGATTAGTAATCCCATCTGGAAATCAGCCACCACCTACTTTCCTTTATCAGACGTTGTGTAAAAGCAAGGCAAGTGGAATTTGGCCCTTTTCTTTTCACAACATAAGAGGCAAACTATGGGGGTATAAAGTGGCATGTTCTTAGATACACAGTCCATTTAGGCCAACTTCTGACTGGCTCTGGCTGCTCTCATGTTGACATGAGAAGTCAATAAAAGTCACACACAGAATTTGGCTGTGTGGAAACCTGCTAATCAGGAAGACTTGTCCAGTCCAGTGGAGAGAATGCTAAATGAACAGAAAGCAACTGTACTCAGATAAACATATGGATATTTTTCTCATTTAAAATCCTGACAGGTATGAGACAGAAGGACATCATAGAAGAGACAGAACATTTATTTACTCCATCAAGCTGCACCCTTATTGACTAACCATGTTCTCATATAGATGTCACCCTGTACCTCTGCCCAACCTCCATCTTGTTAACGCCTTGTAAGATCATGTCTGATATTAGCATGTGAGCTCATTAGGGAACACAAATCATGGTCTTTTTACCTGTATTGGGAGACACCCAGCAGACTTTTGAGCACTGTAAGAAATAATAATCATGATATAAAGAAGATGGAGAGTTCCAGTGTAGATTTACTGCTCAGTGACCCAAACTGCCAGGTCAAGATTTTCCAACACCCCCATTTCTATTCAAACGAAATTTCTGACTCGGTTTAGTGAACAGACATGAAAGTCTCCTGCCGCCACATTTTCACGGTTACCTGTAACAAATTACAAGTGTGCACCCATCCTAAGTTTGAAGAATGTCCAAGGATATTTAGTTGATTTATGCAGTGCAGAGGTTAAAAAAATCTCAGTAATAACAGGTAATTCACAGTTTCTGGTTCTAAATCTTAGTACTCCTCCTCTTTCTTTAGCTTGTACTGTTTCAAAACCAGCTATATGCCCAAGTCTTGGACTGAATAGCTAGCACTGCTAAATAAGAGGCCTTCCATATTTAGAAAATGAAAAAGAAAGGGGAAAAATTACTGATTAGAACAGCCATGTTATTTCTTTTGTATTACCATTTAATCTAAGCAGTGAATGATCAGGGACTAGATTCTTACTGAAATCAGTGACTATTGTCTGTGATCCTAGTGTCCATCAAATAGACGCCTAAGTGATACATCAGCATATTCAAGTAACTAATTATTTGCTAATCCAATTTAAATTCATTTCACTTAATCATTGTGATTAGTAATTCATTAGCCAGGAAAAATGTGAAGTGGTGAAGCACTTGCTACTTACATACCAAAGAAATGAAAAAGAAACTGCAATCAAGGAGATTTAATATGCTTGCAATCAAAGGCAAACACAAGTTAAACCTTTTTGGTACAGAGAAATGCGTGAGCGTTGTGGCATAAGAAAAAAAATCCAGAATAACAAATGTGCAGCACTTTAATGTTAGATTGACCATGATTGGAACGGTTCACAAGTAGCGTGGACAATCTAAATTGTACTTCATTGCCTAAGTATGCTAGAACCATTAGGATAATTTAGAAAACACGTCACCAGAACTTGGGCTGTGGAAGGAAAAATGGGAGCATCTTTGGAAGGTTAAAGTGGGAGTTGGAGTGACTTCTAGTCCAATATTTTGAGACAAACAGAAAGATGTGAGGGCTATTATACATCCTTCACAGCCTATTTACACCAGTTGTAAGAATATTTACCTGAACAGATATTTACATTTTTTAAAATATTCTTAAAAAAGTAATATTTGCTTGATCTATGACACAATGAACTTCTCTACAAGGAAACTTACAATAGGCATAATAAAATATTCAAGAAGGCATAAAAGATAACACTAGCGCAGTGGTCTGGCCTAATAAAACACGTTTAGGATGACTGCAATGTATGGATACAGCTTTGTTCTAGAAAGGAGTTGTGCATATTTAAAAGTACTTACAAAGTTGATCTCCTCCTTTCCTTACAGGTGTATGTTTCCTCACTAGATGAGTAGAGAATCATGAGCACCACGCATTTCTAAATGAAGGTATGTCCATGTTTTAATGATGGGACAACGTCTTCTAAACTTTATGGCTCATAAGAGAAAATATGTAGGTTTCATCCTATCGATGCTAAAGGGCAATTTAAAGGATTTCATATCTAATGAATTCATAGGATTCATTGCCTTTTTTCGTCTGTCCAAACAGATTTATAATAATCAGAGAACTAAGATGGTTATAACTTACTTGATGTCTATTGCCAGCCTATAAAATGCAATTCTTTCGGTAAAAGCTAATGCTTAAAGGAATGTTATCAGTGTTACTCTGTGTCCTTTCAATTTAAAATCCCTTTTTTATGAGGAGAGTGACAAACATCTATGTTAGAAAATAGTTACTGCACCTTTAAGTATCACCGAATATATTCAACAACTGCTTTCGTATAAACTCTGGGCAGTCAAGGTCACTCTAGAGCATAGTTATACTTTCATGTAATTCAAAAGGCCAGGTGCAATGATGTAACAGATGCTGTCCCTGGAAAAGGGAGTTTGCACTAACATCAAGATTACATTTTCAAAGCAGTTTGTGGGATTTAGCTGCTCATTTCTTACTGTTTTAATAGTACTTGTCTGGCTTGCACCACTTTGGAAAGTTACCCATAACTACTCTTGTCCTAATTAGTTCATGATGATGAACACTGACAGCTACGAAACAGAACTGGAGAAAAGCTTTTTATGTCTATAAAAGTGCAAACGGAACTTAACTTTCTCACTGCCAGCTGTTGCATTCTGGGGTAATTTATTTGATTTTTACATGAATCTAATTTCTCATAACTAAATGGTAATTGAAGATAAAAAGGTGTAATATAAATGGGAGGAAAACGGCAACACAAAAATAATCTTTTCCAGAATCTTTGAAGAGAAACATGTAAATTAAGTCTAAAATTATAATGGGTGAATGGGTTGCTAAAAATATGTTACTGAAACTGGTGGAGATGGAGTTGGCTATGTAGCCATTGTTTTATGAAGAACTAAGTCGTTTCAGTGTTGGTAAATTGCTAATGAGGGAAATGAATAATTTCTAGAAATGTTTCTGCCTACATTGAGCACAAGCCTGGCTATTATGCTATCTGGCAGGCAGGAAATGATTTTTCACACTATGTCCTATCTGACTTGAGTCACATGGTGCTGAGGGAAGAGTGCTTTATCTCCTGATACGATAGATTCTGCATATCTGACTACCAGTGTTTTGTGGCTTTCAAAGTCACCTTCCCATCCCCAATTTTTCCACTAAGAATTTTCTCGAATACAAACAGACGATGTTCTTTATACACCCTGCATTCCAATAGCAAAAGAGAGAAAAGAAAAAAAAAGAGAGTTGACCATAGATACTTCTGTCATGTTTGGTACTGAAATTATATCAAAGAATTCTTCTCACACCATCCCTCAAAGGAAACTGATCATTTTCCATTAAATTTATCACCTAGATGTCTGCATTTTGAAAACTGCTTTCTGTGATTTATTTTCCTTATTACAAACGTCAGTTTTAAATGTGTTTTTACTGCTTACATGTTCAGGAAATGTTAAGGGTAGTATAATCAGGGCCCTACAGTCAGAAGTACAGTTGATTTGAAGTTAGACTGACTGAAAGAAAACTGATGACTTCAACATAATGGAGAGACTCATCAGTACTGAAACTCAGAAGCTGTTTTGTTCTACAGAATCATCAAGTTATGCATCTTATTCAATACCTTGGTAGAGAAATTATTCTCTTTCCAGGTATACATTCTTTTCATAAGCCAAGCCGTAAATCATACTTCCAAAAAATATCCCAACACAACCCAATTTCTATTAGCAGATCATACCTTATACTATAAAACTTGCAAGTATACCAGTGTTGCACCATGAAGCTTATACAGGTTTTTTTCCCCAGTGAAAAAATATACAATGCGACTGCCTATTTGTTGCAGTGTAAGGTCCAATCAGTACTTGTCTGCTGCAGGCTCTAGTTTTGTGCCCTTTCATACTTCTCCAACCCAGACCACTGTGTTACCCCTCCTGATACCTGAAACCTCACAGTGTAATGTGTTTTGTCTCCCATTAATAACAAACAGTGAATTCTTAGCTGGTGTAATAAGATACTGTCCAAATAACCCACTGTCTTTCATAATTCTGGTGTAGCTGCTCCAGGGCCAGTCTTTGGACATGATAGGTTCCTTTAAATTCTTCAGTACATTCATTTTCCCTGTTGACAGCTCTACAAAAAGCACATCTGTTTGCAAATGTGACGTAGCATATATATAGTACTGATTGCCTTCAGTGAAAGAGGGTTGAAATGTCAGATCAGATACGTGTACATTTGTTTGTAAGTCATAAATCAACTTGATTTCCCCTTGGATGGTTATTGCCTGGACTTTAATCCTGCCACTGTCTTCAGCTGCACTGACCAAATAGCGTCCATCAGGGGAAATATAGGGCGTACCCGATATGTCACTGTTAGGGCCAATCACAGAATCTGTAACACTGTCAATAATGAGCTGGGGAGAGGCTATTACTGATGTATTTTTTTTACACTGGACAAAGAAGTAGCCGCCCAAATGGGTATAGGCCATGCTCTGTGGTTTGCAGCTATAGTTTCTGAAGCGGATAGTCTTGATGTGGGTCACAGTTTCCAGGTCAATTTTGTGAACTGCAGATTTCGATTTGTTAAAGATGAAACCGAACCTGAAATATAAAACATGACACTGCCATCATCTCTGGAGCTGTGGCAACATGCTTGAGAGAACACTGAAACCAGCAGAAGTGGCAGACTCCATGCTGTTGTTTTCTATTGTGTGTAATAATGTTCGCTTTTCTCTATGAAACCGCTCACGTTTTAATTCTTCTGCTATGTGCTAAAAAAAAACCCCTACATTTTTGGTTAACATGTCATTACGAATGCGGGGCATGACCCCACGAGCCGTTATACATGCAAGAATTCCTGGCTCGCATGAACAGTCCCATCAACCGTGGGAGCAGTGTGCAGGATTGGGCACTTTATGTGTTATGCTGGAGTCACTTGCGTGAGTGAAAATTAATTTTACGTGGAATATCTTTTTATCCATTCGATACAGAAAGAAGGAAATTAAGTGAGATGTTTGTCTGGTCTTTGAAAGATTAAGATTGCTTTATGAAACGTGACAAGAGACTTGTTTTCACACAGTTAAAATATATATTTTGCTTCAATCAGTGGGTTTATTTCTTTAATCTTAAACAGAATGTCAGTGAGACACTCAGCAGTGATTTCACTGCTGAAGAATTAGCCAATGTACCGTATGATCCCTTGAAAATCACTGAGCTTAGCCTTGCGTTTTCCCATTATGCTCGGATCCTTTAGAAACGTCACTTAAAATAGCTGCAGTAAAGATTTACATGGCATTAGGTGTGGAGGAAATAGGAGATGACACCAGTGTTTCTCCTGAATGAGCGCACTTGGACTATTAAAAAAAAAAAAAGCCTTTCTTTACAGCATTTCTTTCAAGACTCCCTTAATACTTGGCCAAGTGCCTGAATAAGAGAAAACCCAGGCTTTTATCATAAACTTTAATTTGAAAAAGTGGGTTAGAATGTATGTTACGTGCACACAGCTGCTGAAGAGGTGCTATGCCTGTGTGAAATTTGTGCTCTGAAATCTCAGTGAAAAAACTTGCTCTTCATATTCTTTTAATGGACAGCCATCGAGTCTGTAGGGCATCCTGGGAACTAGCACCCCCCCCCCCCCCAAAAGAGAGAGGTGACTCACCCTGTGCAGTAACTGTAGTTCTTCAAAGATGTGCTCCTCATAGGGGCTCCACTTCTGGTGCATGTGCGCCCCATGTGCCTTTGATTGGAAATTTTCATTAGCAATGTCCGTTCAGCCCACACGTGAGGATATCAGCAGCATGTGTGATATCCTCACACATGCTGTTGATAGCCTCTCGGCTTGCACTGAGGCTTTATCAGGTTGCATGGGCACATTGCCGCTCAGTTCCTTTTTCACCACTGAGCCACAGAAGGAAACTCCAAAGCACGGGGAAGGAAGGTGGGTAACGGAGCAGTATTCCCATAACAAGGAGGGAACTTTGGAATCGATTCCAGCACAGAGGAAAAAAGTGCATTGCCAGCTGTTGCATCAGAACTAGAGGCATTGAGAAAGGCATATGTACCGAAAACCTTAGTGCAGCTCTCGGATACTGGACATTTTTAAGTACAGCCATAGATGTATGTAGATTGTGACCTCGTCAAGCAAACGGCGAGAACCCTTCAGTAGTGGTATGGCAGACTCTTAAGGCATCCAAATGAACCTTGAGAGAAATAAGTAATAGTCCTGTTTCCTTTAGCTGCAGCACATATTCCAGAACAACTGGATGTAATGCAAATTTGGGGGTAGTATTTTGGAATTCACAACAGACACTAAATGTTCTCCATTTTTGAAGGTAAGTATTTCTGGATCTTTCCTATTTTTAAAATAATATCTGTTGTAACTCTGACGGACAGACCAACTAACCCCGCAAATCATTGAGGAGACACACCTTGAGGTGGAGAATGCTCACATTGGGAATGCAGCATTCCACTGGCATCCTGGGATAGGAGCTGAAGAGGGATTGGAAGATTTATCTCTGGACAAAGAGCTAGGGGAAACCACACCTACCTTGACTATGTTGGGGCTATTAGGATAACTCTGTTCTTGTCCTGTCTGATTTTGTTCACCGCTTTGAGAATCAGAGGCATTGGGGAACCACATAAAACAGCTTCTTCATCCAAGTGAGGATGGATTCCTTCCCCCCAAGGAATTACGACCTAACTGAACAGAATAGATGGCATTTTTTGTTCGTAGTGGTAGTGAAGAGATCAACATCTGAAAATCCCCAAGTCTGAGCTACACCAGCAATAACTTGGGAATCCAACTCCCATTTGTAGTCTTGGGAACAAACACCTGCTAAGAGTGTTGACTTGAAATTTTGCCTGCCTGGGAGATAGGTTGAGGAAATCCTTATGCAATGTTTTGTGCTCCAGTTCCATAACCTTAATGCTTTGGTGCAGAGGGAAGGAGATCTCACTTCTCCCTGCCAATTGATAATAGAATATGCAGGCAGCATTGTCTGTCATGACTTTGCTAGACCTGTCTGAGGAGAGGCAGAAAATGAAGGGAGACATTTCTGACTGCTCTGACTCTTAACAGGTTGATATGGAGGGTGGTTTCTTGGGGTGACCATCTGGGTGTGGTCTCAGAGTGAACATGTATTGTTAGGTTTCAGAGTAACAACCGTGTTAGTCTGTATTCGCAAAAAGAAAAGGAGTACTTGTGACACCTTAGAGACTCACCAATTTATTTGAGCATGAGCTCAATACTCCTTTTCTTTTCATGTATTGTTAGAGCATTGAGGTGTGCCTCCCCATTCTGACAGATGCATCTGTGGTTATGGTTAATGTTGGTGTCAGTTGGAGTAAGAGGACCCCCACCCCTACATTGCGATGAACCTTCCACCAGTCCAGGTGGCAGTTAACCTGTTGAGGAACTGACACCTGTTTGGCAAGAAAGCTGATCTGAGCCACCCCTGGAAACAGCAAAAGCATAATCTTGCATGTTCAGTCACAAAAATGCAAGCGGCTATGCGACCTAGAACTTTGTAGGGTTGCCAACCCTCCCGGTTTGGCTGGGAGTCTCCTGGAATCGATCTCGATTGCCCAGAGGCTACTGAAGCCAATCCGGGAGATTTTAGGCTGCTAAAAGTCAGCGACACACCAGGGCTAAGGCAGGCTCCCTACTTGCCCTGGCTCCATGCTGCTCGCAGAAGTGGCCAGCATGTCCCTATGGCCACTAGGCAGAGGCGCGGCCAGGAATGGGGAATGGCGGCCAATACGAGCTGCAGCGGCGTTGCCTGTTGGCGGGGTCAGCACACAGAGCTGCCTGGCCGCCCCCTGAGCCGAGGAGCTGCTGCCGGACATGCTGCCACTTCTGAAAGCCACCTCAGGTAGGCGCTGCCAGGCCGGAGCCTGCACTCCTCACTTCCTCCTACACTCCAGCCCCCTCCTGCACCCAGACTCCCTCCCAGAGCCTGCACTCCCTCCTGCACCCCAACCCCTTGCCCCAGCCCTGAACCTCCTCACAATCCAAAACTCCCTCCCGGAGCCTGCCCTCCCTCCCCCAGCACAGAGCCTCTTCCCACGTCCAAATTCCCTCCCAGAGTCTGCACCCCCTCCTGCACCCCAACCCCTTGCCCTGAGCCTCCTCACGATCCCAAACTCCCTCCCGGAGCCTGCACCCCCACCTCCAGCACAGAGTCCCTTCCCACATCCAAATTCCCTCCCAGAGTCAGCACCCCATCCTGCACCCTCAGCCCGGAGCCCCAACCCACACTCCCTCCCACACCCCAACCCCCTGCCCCAGCCTGGTGAAAGTGAGTGAGGGTGAGGGAGAGGGAGTGATGGAGGAAGGGGGGCAAGACAAGGGTGTTTGTGCAATTAGACAGTTGGCAACGATACCTAGAAGTTGAAGACCATTTCTGACTGAAGCCTGGGGGCTCCCTTGAATAATTCTGACAGAGTATGATAGTGTCATGATGTCCATGGGAAGGAAGGCCCTGGATGCGAAGGGGCACTAGAGTTTCCTCGGGACTGATGGCGAGGAGAGGGAGGTCTCCCGACCTGTCTCCAAAGTGAGGCAAAAGGAACACTCCATCATTAACAGTCACTGCTTGATTTCCTGGTTCTTCCGTGGCTTGGATTTGAGGGCTAAACAAGACGTTACACTTATGTGGCTCTCCCAGGCAACAAACACATAAAGTGTCCATTGCTGACTGGGATAGCCTCTTTACACACAAGGCAACATTTAAACCCCTGTGAACCGGGCATGCCCTATGCAGGGAAGCTTTCCCCAGAGGGAATAACACAATCTTTCAATAGCTAGTATCTAACTATTACTACTTACTAACAAACTACGTAAAAAGAACTCAGCGAGCAGCCGAGACAAGCACGATGCGGACACACTAAGCTCTGTCTCAGTCCAACACAGGAACTGAGGGCAGTTTTCTTGCACAGCCTGATATAGCCTCAGTGTGGGACACGTGGGTATCAGAAGCACCTGCATGGGCCAAATGGACACTGCTAATTAAAATCTCCGATCAAAGGTGGCTGGGGCACATGCACATCTGACGTGGAGCATCCATAGGGGCACTACTTGAAGAAGGTCTAGATATTTATCTGAATTAACAGACAGTTGGAAGTGTCAAATTACTGTTTGTTTCAGCAAGCAGAACTATTTACATTGGGTCAAAACCTGCACATAGTCACACCAATGTCAGTAATAGTGTGGCAATCATCAGTAGAACCCCAATCCAGCAACTAACTTAAAGGTAAGCATGTGCTTAAGTACTTTGTTGGATTGGGGTCTAAAAAGCAGAATATGGCACACAACTGAGCTATACTGGCTCCATAAAGTGATTAGTAGTTGTACTATAACGTGGTAGCAATAGAATCAATTACTATGTACTTACCATTGATTTCAACAGTTAACATGGAGTTGTCACATTAATGCCAGGAAATAGTGCATATTATTTTGAGTTAAGCGTGTTAGCTAAATTGTAATTCCCTTGGAAAATATTGTAATCACAATACCTGGTGCTCATTTTTTTAAAAATGCATGCACCATTTGTGCAGTTGCTGTTACTGCACACACATCTCATATTTCAGCATGCAAATGGTCAGTTATGTGTTCAACAGCCAAACTTTAGATGAGAATAAATTTTTTACCACTCAGCTCAATAAATCATAGGATATGTCTACCGAGTCCTTAGGGGCTTGTACTGGGATGGCTAGCCCATGCTGAAGCCTGTGCTGTCATGTGTTTGCTAGCTACTGTTGCAAACAGTACAAGCACACCTTAATTTGCAGTGTAGACATACCCTCAGCGGTACACTTTGAATCTTAGATTTCTTGTAGTATGGCTTTGTGGTTAAAGCATGAGCCTGAACCTCAAGTTTCTATTCCTGTCTCTACACAGACTTGCTGAATCATTTGGGGGCAATTTGCTTATCCTGTTCTTACATCAGTTTCCACATCAGGAAAATGGGGAAAATAATACTTAACCAGATCACATGTTCATTAATGTTTATATAGTACTTCAAGCTGATTAGACAGAAGGTTCCCTAGAAGCACAAAGCATGATGATGACGAGTCATTAGGACCATTCCTTACCTAATGTGATTAATAATAAGATTTGTAGGTGGTATGAAAAAATCATCCACATCTTCAAATGGCGTGCGGATGATATGCTGATTTTCCCCTGCACTTGCCTCTGATATTACCTACAATAAATAAACAAAATGTTGAGCATAGGGAAAACAAGAAGGAAGCGAGAAGTAAATACAGATTACAGAACTGCATTACACCAAAAAGATTTTTGCCATGTACCTAGGACATTCAAATTGATTAATACTTTCAAAATAGTGTTTGGAGTAGCTGCCCTGAAAAAATGTTAATTAAAATGGCATTTGAAGATTGACATTTGTAAGGTAAGTGCACAACTCTCTTTGCTGTCATATGATGATGTTTGTATCCGTAGACAAAGCAATCATGCACAAGTTGAAATAGTGTGACAACACTAAACCTACAATAATGTATTCCAAACTGTTTAAAGAAAACATCTATTTCATATTTATTAACTCACTTAAATGCACAGTTTTAAGTTTTAATTCACTGGCTTGAATGGTCTAATGCTAAGTCCCACAGCAATTAATTATCACTTTGAAGGAGCAGAAATGTTCACCCATTGATTGCACCATGTAAAATACATGGAAGAGCAGAGAAAGGTACTGTCTCGAAATGCTGTCCTTCAGAACAAAGCAAACCTTCTGCTGCCATGGAAACTCTGATTTATTATCTCCCTTATAACCCCAGAAAAATGAGGAGGTAGAAATGTTCAACAATTAAAATGTTAAATACAGAAATTGTTTACTGGGATTGTTTTGATTCAAGATGGTTTAGGTCAATTCATTAGAAGTTTCTGCTAATGTAATGTGCTAACAGGAGTTCTTTTGAATGTAAGGCTAAATAATTCCTTAAAAGGTTTAGTTCAAACTTTCTGGTCATGCCATTTCGATTTCTTCCAATTAAATTGTTTGAGAAAAATGCCAATTTTTGCCGAGTGCTTTCATGAAGCCAGAAATAGTATTGTATATTTGCTTTCCCATAAACTAGTAACAACTGAACAATAGCAACCCCTTAATAGGCTGCATAACTTTGTTTAATAAACCCCTGATTTCTGAAGAGGGAGAAAATTAAGGTCAAGCTGTACAGCCGAATTTCTTTATTACAGACTGTGGGAAATCATTAAGGTTTTTGTTTGTGTGTGTGTGGGGAACCTCATCAAATTTGACACTGCAAACTTTTGGTGGAGGTGGGAGGGAGAGATCAGAAAAAACAAAGGTAGCCTGCTGCTGATGTTAATCTAATGCTATCCATGCGTATCTGCACTTCACAAGATAACGGAAAGGACCATCTGAGAACTATAGCCCTATAACAAGTTTCCAGCTGTGCAGTTGGTGTTGTCTTGTTAATAATCACAAGTCTGTGCCATCTTTCCTTTAATTACAGAAACCTCTCACAGCTGGACGGAAGCTATTAAGTTCGAAGCGTAAAGAAAATCCATTTTGTCTTCCTGTATCTTGTCCAGGAACCCATGCTAGTCATCAGGAAAGTTAGCTGAGATTGCTTCTGAAACTTCTGTTTAGTTGCTGTTGTTCTGTTGCCAGAGGTTACAACGGTGCAGGAGTCCTCATTATTTAGCAGGGCCCAACTGGTTTGTAAAATCTGTATGGCAATATGGCAACTGCTGTAAAGAAGATGATTATTTATGTGTAAACGTCTGGCCTGAATAGTTTAACTGGGCACTTAGCTGCTGTGCGGGGAAGCAAGAAGAAGATCCTCCCACTCTCAAGTGCCAGCATAAGGGCTAGTGTAGACTCGAGGTGCCAGGTTCACAAGGTATTTGCGTGCCTAACTGCCTCTTTAGGCACCTAATGCCAACATTTGGTGCCACTGACATTTTCAGAACCACCGTCCAGCTGCTAGCTAACCCTGTAGGCATCTAAGTATCTGCTGGTGGGCCCACGTCACTGCTTGGAACCTGCACTCAAACTGAAACCCCAGAGCAATTCTCAGACTGGACATGCCCATATCTCTCCTAAAGCACTCAGTTGCATTAGTATGTGCTAAACATGCCTATGGGCTTGGGCCCCACACACAATCAGGGCCAAGCAAGTTGGGAATTTTTTGGCTTGTGCGTGTCCCTAGAATACTCAATAGCCCTGCCGTTAGGGCACTTGCCTGAGAAGGGGAAGACTCAAGTTCACATCCCTGCTCCAAATCAGGCATAACAGTCTGGATGGCTTCCTCTCTGGTTTTTCATGAGAAAAAGTTGACCTTGTTTTTAGGCGCCTAACTTCAGGAGAGGGTTTGTGGATAAGAATATTGGCACTTCCCTCTGGCCTGTCAGTCAGGTGTCTAAGGCCACATCAATGGGAGTTAGCTGCCTAAATACTTTTGATTGGGGTCTAAGCCCCACCCCTTTCCTCTGCATTTCAGTCCTGGTTAGGTTAGGCCATGCCCTGCTCAGCTGGCTCCCAAGAATCTCCTTCTTGGGCACCTAACTCTCTGTATGCAATGCATGGGTAGCCCAGGCAGCTAGCTCGGGGCTCAGAATTCCACTAGGTGCCTATGAGCTAGGCATTGCAACACCTAAGTACCTGTCTGTAGCTAGCCCTAGATTCATCGTGGGGAGAGGGGATTAGATCATTGAATTGGATCTCCCCTATATCACAGGCCTTAAATTTCATCCAGTTACTCCTGTACTGAACCCAACAACTTGTAAAGCATATCTATCTTCCAGAAAGGCATCTGTGATCCTTAAGCTTCCTGCATCCCTATGAGGAGTGGAGGTAGGAGGTCAAGAGGATCTGTGCAATGGTAGATCTCCCAGTGCCTCACCACTTCCAGCCCACCCATCTCACTCTCTCTACATCCAGTTGATTATTTCGCTAGCCTCTTTTCACCTTGGAACTGATTTCCAGTACCTCATGGAGATTGCCCATCCCTTGCCTAGCCCTCCAGAGTCCTATACTGAATCCCTTCGTGTGGCAGAACCACAGTGGGGCCACTGCCTTGAGAGTCTCTGCAGACCAGAAAGCAAGGGCAGGAAGTGCCATTCAGGAACTTTTTTTTTTTTAATTTTGAGAGAAATAAAATCCAGTTCCTAGGACACTAGGGTTCCGATTTCAGGGGGGCTGTGCACACACACAGTGCTTACTGACGTTAGTTGTGGGTGCTCAGCATGCCTGAAAAATCAGGCCGTGTACTGTCGGCATAACTCGAGAGAGAGCAGCACAGTACTACAGCCGCTGATCCAAACAGGAGGCCGATACTGGCAACCTAATGCAGCCACATGGCTTAATTCATTTTTATGGTGGGTACCAGATGAAAAAAATAGATGTCAAAATAACAGCATGAAGCCAAATCTCTGCTCTCATGCTAAACTCCAGGTCGGGTTTTATTGCTGCATTATTGGTAAAAAGAAAAGGAGGACTTGTGGCACCTTAGAGACTAACCAATTTATTTGAGCATAAGCTTTCGTGAGCTACAGCTCACTTCAACGGATGCATACTGTATGCTTATGCTCAAATAAATTGGTTAGTCTCGAAGGTGCCACAAGTCCTCCTTTTCTTTTTGCGAATACAGACTAACACGACTCTTACCCTGAAACCTATTGGTAAAATGTTAACTTTACATAACACTTACCTGCAGTGTTGGATGGGACTTCTGCATGTTCCCCCAGCTAAGGACCCAGACTTGGTCGTGTGATTTATCATAATGTAATTTGGCTGGTAGGGGGTGAACATCCATAGACTTCAAAGAAACAAATATTTGTATTCATATTTAGTCAAGTGAAGGTGGATTATGAACATTATTTATGTTAACATTTGTTTACAAAGATTGATGTGAACATTCCCGTAGAATCCATTATCCACCCCCCACACTTTAGGGAGATGGAGGCACAAATTTGTGTAGTTGGCTGAAAAAAATCACAGTGACAGAGCCAGAAATAGAAATTAGGTAGCCTGATTCCAGTCCTCTGATTTGGCTAATCAGACGACACTCCATCTTCCACCACAACTTCTATCTACAGGGGCCAATTTCTGATAGTGTTACACCTGGGCAATCTGGTTATAACTGAGGTCAGAAACTGACCCAGTAAGTGTAGGTCAGAAATACTTTCTAGGAAGCTGCAAACATGACTGCAGACTTATTCCTAGGACTATGAGAATCATGCCATAAAGCGGTTTTTTGAGAATGAGGTTATAGCATGGCAAATGACGCAGTATACCCCGATGAGCGAAAATAGTTTATCTGTCCGACACATGAGCTCGGTCAGAGGTTCACTGGGTAGGGACCTAATTCTTTAGCAGATCAAAACCGCTTTGCCATCATGGAATAAATAGCTCTCCTGGTTAAGTACCTGCATGACTTTCTGTGTCTGGATATCAATGATGATTAGTCTGTTCTGCTTGGGCTGGGTCACATAAATATACTTGTCTCTGACATTGACAGCTGAAGCCCAGAGGCAGGACTGAACAGCGCCACCTTCAACTCTAGGACAGATCTCTTCCTGAAAGAGAGAAGAATAGGTTTAATTTGTGCAAGTTCAGGGCCATGCTCTAAGCAGCCTGCACTTTAGCCTGAAATCATAGAACAAAAATCCATGGGGACTATGGTATGCCTAAATTATCCCCCCCCCCACACTTTTTACCTGGAAAACATGAAATAATTATTGTATTAAGTAGCACACTGTAGTCTGAATCTGTCCCAATGAGATTAAGCAACTGGAGCTTGCTGCAAGCTCCCATTTATTTTCAAATAATCATGATGCTGCACAGAACAGAATCTTCTGAAGTATCCCCTGGTACAAGGGGACTTATAGTGCTCTCAACATTTATTAGCAATATAAATCTCATTTTGGGTTTAAAACACAGTGATTTATGTTTTAATGGAATTATTGCACTGCATTGTTCCTATAGCTTCATTCTCAGTTTTAGAAAATCTTGCTCTCAGATCCTTGTGCATTTAGAGTAGCAGCAGAAGAGTCCAAAAGTCTCCTTAACTCCAACCTGGAAACATCTTGCATTTAAAAGTATCATATGCTGTGGGCTTGATCTTGTTGACCTTACTCACAGCTGGGTCATTTGTTGAAGCCAGTGGGACTAAACATCATTAGAGCCAGCAGGATTTGTCCTTTGCTATATTTTCTGTAATGCTGCTTCTTTTTGGGGATAGCTTTCTCTTCATATGCTTGCTTTCCCACCTTGTGCATTATTATTGATGACCGGTAAGTTATTCCAACAGTAATGGTACTTTTCAGTTGGTACCTCTCAGGTGCCTAATAAAGTAAAATATCATTTAGTTGGGGATCTAAAGCTCGGAAGGCCACATTCTTGTTGAGTTCTGGCCCCTCTGCACTACTTTGTGGGTGCAAAAAGGCTGGAAATCAGCTGGATTTAGCTGCTGAGAAGTCCTATGGTTTGGTGAACAGAGCTTGTGCATCTACGTCCTGGCCCACCACTCCCACCCGGTCCTGGCATAGAAGTAGGTTGGGGGGATGGAGCTGGAGTGCACTGGGCCTTGGCTATCCTCTGGCGGCATGTGGTCCTTTGTGCACAGAGCTTTGAAAGTGAACCAGAAGGCAGAGCAAACACCACGATTTATTCTGTTCTTAAAATATCTCATAACTTTTAGGCCACTCTCATGATCTTTGAGCGCTACTTGTGATTTTCATAGGTGGGGGTTGGCAATATTCAGTAGCAAACTTGCAACCGGAGACTCAGGAAGCTATGAGTCTCCATGACAAATTTTTCCTTCCCCATTGCCCCCACTTTTGCAGCAAATGGAAACTTGGCACAGCAGAAAATCTGGGTCCAAGTGAACTGTCCAAGGTCCCGCAGCAAATCAGTGAGAGAGGTGGAAACAGAACCAAAGTCTCTAGACTCCCAGTGTGGTCTATTTTCCACCGGTCCACGCTGTGTATCTTAGAACAATAGTCTTCCTTATCTGAGATTAAATAGAAGTGACTAGCATGTGAGAGGATACAAGCACAGCACAAAGAATAGTTTTAAGAAATGCACTAAAAATAACCTTTGGCCTGATCCTACAACCATTGAGGCCCCCAGCAAAACTTCAATGAGAGCTGTATAGCACCCTGCGTTTGCATTGTGGATGAGGCTGCAAGTCTATCACAGAGGTCACGGATTCCAGGACTTTCTGGGACCTCCGTGGCTTCTGCACTCAGCAGCTGCGACCCCAGGGCTACCCAAGCATCTCAGATGGCCCTGGTGACTGACCCCAGGACAGCCTGGCAGCTTGGGTGGCGCTGGGGCCAGCTGCGGTGGCTCCCCTCCCCACAACAGTGGGCCACCAGCAGTCCCAGGCTTCCCCCTACCAGCAGCCACTGTGGCTGTCCTGGACCGGCGGGGCCGCCCCGCAGCAGTAGTCGCTGTCCTGGGCTGCCCCTGGCCAGCAGCAGTGGCAGCAATCCTGGGCTGGTGGGCTGCCCCCTGCCAGTAGCAGCAGCGGTGGTCCTGGACCAGCCCTCACCAGCAGCAGTGGGCACCCCTGACGAGTACCAGCGGGTGCACCAGAGCCCCCCCCTCCAGAACCTCCTAGAACACCCAAGATTTAATCAGGGGTATATAGTACAAGTCATGGACAGGTCATGGAGCCTGAATTTTTTTTATTGCCCATGACATGTCCATGACTTTTACTAAAAATACCCATGGCTAAATCTTAGTCTTCATTATGGGTCATCCTAATGGGTGAACTTGCAAAAGTTCACCTGCTAACTAGCCATTAATTACTTTTGTTTCTTAATGGCTACTTTATTTGAATGCATAGTTTTGGAGCAGATACAGGACATGGGGAGGAAATAAATGCATGTGTGTTTTTGTCAGTGCAGCTGTGGCTCTTAGGCCTTGTCTCTACACAAAAGTTGTACCACTTTAGCTATCCCAGCACAGTGAACGGGATATCCCTGCTGTGGGTTCTGTTATGGCTTATTTCTGTACGAGAAGGGGAATGAATAAGCTATAAGCACTTTTCTATCAGTACAACTTCACCCATACTAGGGATTGTACCAATATTACTATTATAGTAAAAGAATCAAACGCCTAGCACACATAGTTACACCGGTCCAGTCACTGTGTAGACCAGGCCTAAGTTTTGAAGATAAGGGGCCAGATTGTCTTGTTTGGCTGAGTTCTGATATATGCCTCCCACAGATCCTGGAGCCAGCCAGAGTCCAGTCTGGTTCCTGGTGTAAAGGCTTGTCTACACAGGGAAACCCCCCACAGCACGTGGTGCACATTAGCTACTCTACACTGACTCCCCATGCGGATACTTACTGTATGCTAAGAATGCCTTTGTGGGCATCAGCTTAGTGCAATTTGTATTAAGCTAACCTCCCTGAGGGCACTTTTAGTGCACAGTGGGTGTCCACATAGGGAACTAGTGTGAAGTACTTAGTGCACTTTAAATTCATACCCTAGCTTACTGTGCACTAACTTCCCCTGTAGACAACCTCTAAGTTGGAGCAGCTCAGAGCACATTTAATTTAAACCTGTCTACAGGCCCCAGCAACTTTATGCTACCATAGTGGTATAACTGAGCTGGAGCAGGGACCAGAATCTGTCCCTATGGGTCTAATACAGCACTCACTTCAAATTTAACACATTCAGCCTTCCCCACGCTAAATGTTCTTTTATGCCGATTGGATAGCAAATGAAGCTGTTTCTGTTGTAAACCCACCAAAGGTTGGCTTGTTTGTACAACCACATGACTGTTTACATGGCTAATGTTAAAATAATAAAAAGAAAAAAGTAATGTAAATCTAAGTTATTTAGAACTATCTGAACCAGGGTCTACTCCTGCACTCATTGAAGCCAATGGCAAAGGGCCCCAAGACTTCAGTGGGAGGCGGATCAGGTCTTTAGAGGTTTCTCTAGAGATCAGACATATAGCACTGCTAAAAGTTCCTTTTTAAACCCACCACTGTTTTCTTTAAGTGCCCTTCTTTCTTTGTTCTTTTCAATCTGAATTTCCAGTACCACCTTTCCAATATTTACAGCTCGTCAGAAAAGAAACCCAGAAGTCTGTCTTTGAGTTATAAAACCTTATTACCGCTGTTACAATATGTCCACATAGAGTGCTCAAAGGTGAGGATCAGAGTGTCGATTTATAAGGTGATATATTAAAAGGCTCAAATGAAGGGAAAATATTAATCTGAGAGTTATTGATATTTAAAAAATACTTATTTAACAGAATGATGCCCTTTCTTAGAATTATAGAATCATAGAATATTAGGGTTGGAAGAGACCTCAGGAGGTCATCTAGTCCAACCCCCTGCTCAAAGCAGGACCAATCCTCAACTAAATCATCCCAGCCAGGGCTTTGTCAAGCCTGACCTTAAAAACCTCTAAGGAAGGAGATTCCACCACCTCCCTAGGTAACCCATTCCAGTGCTTCACCACCCTCCTAGTGAAAAAGTTTTTCCTAACATCCAAACTAAACCTCCCCATTGCAACTTGAGACCATTACTCTTCGTTCTGTCATCTGGTACCACTGAGAACAGCCTAGATCCATCCTCTTTGGAACCCCCTTTCAGGTAGTTGAAAGCAGCTATCAAATCCCCCCCCTCATTCTTGTCTTCTGCAGACTAAACAATCCCAGTTCCCTCAGCCGCTCTTCATAAGTCATGTGCTGCAGCCTCCTAATAATTTTTGTTCCCCTCCGCTGGGCGCTTTCCAATTTTTCCACATCCTTCTTGTAGTGTGGGGCATAAAACTGGACACAGTACTCCAGATGAGGCCTCAATAGTTCAATAAGATTATACAAGCGATGCCTTATTGTGCAATAGCATGACATAAATACTGAAAAAACTTAATTCAAGGCCTTAAAGGCATGTGATATCTCGCTATTGCACTTGTCATGTTGTGTATCATTGCATTTGATCCAATACTAAAAGTTCACTGCCACTAGGACAAAATTTTCCTTTACCAGTTTTCTTTGAATTCAGATAATCCTGGATTTAAAAAAATCCCAGTGTTTGTAGAACATTCCAAATGGACAAATAGGGAGCCCAAGTTGTCTTTATTTGTAATGGAACTTACACAGAATGTTCAGTAGAGGTGTAAACTTCTCCACATCACTATCCCCACATGCTGCCACTGTATCTCAATTCTGACTTGGGAAGCCATTGCATGAAAAGCTTATATGCATGTGAATAAGGTAACCATAGTCAAAGGCTCTGTGCCACATTAATAATCCCCATGTCAGAATCATAATATGCATTGTTTTTATTTTTAAAATCAGCCTTAGAAGCATAGGGATTGCCATAATGGATCAGACCTGAAGTGAAGACCAATTGCATATCTACCCTGCAGAAGAAGAGGTTACTCACTTTGTGTAGGAACTGCGGTTCTTAGAGATGTGTCCCCCTCTTGGTGCCCCTTGATCAGAGATTTTCAGTTAGCAATGTCTGTTGGGCCCATGCATGTGTCCTATGCCTCCTTGTGCCAGATATCGAGGCTATATGAACTGCCCTCAGTTCCTTATCCATCCAAACATTCCCTAAGGAACAGTCTGAAGCAGAGGGCAAGGAGGGAAGGTAGTGGAGCACCCATGGATACACATCTCAAAGAACTGCAGTTAATGTATGAAGTGAATAACCTGTATTTCTTCTTCCAGTAGTATCTCAATGGGTGCTCCACTTCAGGTGACTTCTGAGCAGCAACCCCAGGTGGAGAAGGGAACTTCGAAATAGAGTCCAGAACTGAAGATAGTACTGCAGAACCAAGTGCTGCATCGGATCTGACTGCATGGATCAGGACATAATGTTTCAAAAACATAAGGACTAAAGCCCATGTAGTGGCCCAACATTTTTCAGATACTGGCACAGTCTGTAGTAATGCCGTAAATGTTGCCTCAATTTGGTTGCAGACCAGAGAGTCCCCAGACTCTTAATAAACCTACCTGATACCAGATGAGCAAATATGGAGGATCTTTCTACTAGAAGATGGAAGCCTGATATTGCAGCCAGAAGGACCTTAACTGCACTAGTTGATAACCCCAATTTCTTTAGATTCAACAAATAATCCAGGATGACTGAAAGGGGCAGCAAATCAGGCAGAAGGGAGCAACACCATCTATTTCATTTCTGCAGGTGCAGGTTGACCTCTTTCAACTGTTCAGTAATACCTGTTACACTTCCGTAGAGCAGGAGGATTCTAACCCCATGAGCCATGCCCTGAGGCGGAGAACCAATAACTTGGGAAGAAGCACATGACCTGCATCCTGTGACAGGAGATGAGGCATGGTTGCGAGTTTGAATGACGGTTGGACACACAGGTAAAGCAGGTAAAGGTACCAAGCTTGTCTTAGCCAGGTCAGCACTATTAGAATATTTCTGGCTCTGTCCTGCCTGATATTGTTTATCACCTTTAATATCAGCAACACTGGCGGAAACACACAGACCAGACAGTTCTTCCAAGATAGAAGAAAGGCATCTCCCAAGGACTGGTGGCCCAGACCCTCTCTTGAGCAGAAAAGAGTACACTGCCTGTTCCTGGAGGTGGTGAAGCGATCCACCTCTGGAAGTCCTCATTTTAGGAATATGTTGGGGAGAACTTGGGTGTCTAGCTCCCATTTGTAGACCTGCGAGAGGTGTCTGCTGAGGACATTCGTTGTGGTGCTCTGAATACCTCAGAGATAGACCACTGAGATTTGGATCTGATGAGCAATGTACCAGTTCCATAGCTTCATGACTTCAGGGCACAGAGAGGGAAATCTTCCTGCTCCCTGTTTGTTGATACAGAATGTGCAGAATACGTTGTCCGTCATGACCCAGATTGATTTATCCCTTATGAGGGGTAGGAAATGAAGGCAAGCCTTGACAGCCCTGATCACCAACAGATTGATGTGGATACTGGTTTCTTGAGTTGTTCATCTGCCTTGATTTGTGCAGGTACTGAGGTGGGCTTTGCATCCCAATAGCGATGCATCTGTCGTTAAAGTCACTGATGGGGCTGACTGACAGAAAGGAATGCCTGCACAGATGTTGAGTTGGTTCTTCCATCAGTCTAAGGAGTTCATCGTTTGTAGAGGAACTGTCACCTCTCTGTCCAAGATGTCTCTGACTGGACAGTAAATTGTTCTAAACCACCCATTTCCTCAGCCCTCAGCTGGGGAGACCTAGTTGCTTTGTGGCCCAGTTCTGATTTGGTAGCATTTTACATCCACTTGGCACAGCTGGAAATGACTACCCAAGGTGTTGGATATTGGCAAGCCAGGCCCGAGACACTCTGTGATTCCAAGGATAAACTTCCTTCACCTTTTGCATGGCCACAAATCCCCACCTTGCACATCCTCAACTGGACACCTTGAAAATGTAACATTTTCCTCGTACTGTATATTCTCTTCACAAGATCTAGGGAGCACAAGCTGACAGATGACTTGGATACTTTATTACAAAAAATCAAAACAAAAACTTACATAACTTGTAAAAATCCTCTCACTGGGTTTGATATGTCTTCGGATCTCACATTCGTTTGGCTGAATGATTGTGATCCCATCATTGGAAAAGACATAAAACATATTTCCCACACTTAGGCCTTTAAGAAAAGAAAAAACAAAGCTAAATAAGCAGAATTTAAAACAACAACAACAAAACCACATTTCTAGACTTTTATTTTGGAAGAACAACAAAAAAATCACTTTCCAGAAAAACTGGTAATTTGGATGCAGTTGGTGCATTCACAAAAATCAAACTTCATGTCATAACAAGGGCTTCAAGGTGTGAGGAAGGAGATACAGACACATTCAAAAACACATTGCTTTGGTGGCGGCAGTGACAAAGTTAGGGAAATATCCTGAGGTCTTCCATGATTATATCTGTGTCAGAATTTGAATGTGTGTGACATTCTAGCCTTGCCAAATCATGACTTTTTTTCTCTTTCCATTTACACTGGAAATAGTTTGCTAACTGTTATGCAACCAAGGAACTGTCAGCTAAAAACACACACACACACACACAAAAAAACCCCTCAAAGTCACACAGTTACAATTAATTTGACCTTTTGCAATTTGCAAATTGTAAAGATGAATAAAAGCATTGCTTGATTATTTCATGAAATACATTTTAAAAAAATCCATCCTGTATTCTAAAACCACCTGCGTGAACCAAAAATAGCCACCAAAACAAATACATTTTTGAAATTTTGCAAACTGTAATTCACAAATGTGGAATATTTCAGCATTGCAATAGCACTCATCTATCAAAACTGGGGCATTCCAGGAGCTTTTGAAAAACTGGCTCCTTCTCAGTGGATTTCTGGTGTAAGGTTATAGTTTCATATTTCTGTTTAGCAGAAATGCCCTACAACACTGATAGTTTCTTCTTCAGCTACATGCAAATGCAGTAAATAATATCTTAGAAAATGGATTAGGGAATCTTTTCAAACACTATACTCAGAAAGATCCCAACACTCTTTAAATTTTTATACCACCCGCTAAATAAATTCTTCCAATGGCCTTTGTTATCTCAGATAATGTTGATAGTGTACTTATCTGCCAAACTTCCATGGCACTGGTGATATAGAATTTTGTCTTTAATAAAATTTGCTCCATAGAAAATAAGGTCCTGATCCTGCAAACACTTAGAAACATGAGCAACTCCACACTACTGGGACTAGGTTCTCCTTAGATTAGCATCTATAAATCCTATAGGACTACTCACATCTAAAGCGTTACTCCACATGCGTTAAGTGCTTCCAGGATTGGCGCCTGAATCATCATAGGAGATTTTTACAGCAAGAACTACGTATGATTGGGACTAACACAGTTTTAGCAAATTTCATAAAATATTTGCTGTATTTATTTAAATGAAATTTCAGCATGGGAGGGTGTTCCTTAAATCTAAACTATCTTGGTGTGAAATATCTGGCTTCAGAGTACAACTGCATGTAGAGAGACTTTTTAGCTTTTGATAGGTTTGTTGCTGAACTGAGAATCTGATGCTTTAAGATTAGCCTCTGAACCATACCACAGAAATACCCCAGTTAAGGCATCAAGCGGATACGGGAGCTGTGATCCTTGAAGGTGATGCCACAGTGAGGGACCATGCATTCTGAAAAAAGCATAAATGTTGAATTTCTACTCAGGCTCTACCTAAGGACTAAGTAGCTTGGTAGGTGCTAAGGGCTAATTTTCCAGAAGTACATTACCAGGCCATTTTGCCCAGCCATTATAGCCAAAAATCTACCCTCACTGCATGCACATAGCTCCCACTTATTTGAATGGGAACTGAGTGTATGTATTGGAGAGCAGAATTTGGCCCTTTGTGCAATGAGTGAAGGAATTTTCATATGTAAAATAAAAGTTTCATTTTAAAAAGTGAAAACAGTCATGCAATAAATTATGACAATTGTGATAGATACATGTTATTATCTGCATGCACATTATTAGTGTTATTTTATTCAATGATTTGGTTAAGAATATGAATGCGCATTTCAGCTTTTAGTAGTCCTTAATAGCAAAAACACTGCTTGATAATGCCTTCAGTTCTGTGCAGATTTGGAGTTACTCTTCCAATTTACTTTAGTTACCTTGCAATGTTTTAACATGATGATCCTGAATCTACTTCCACTAAAGTCAGTGTGAGTTCTGTGTCTAACTTCAATGGAAGCAGGACCAGGCACTAATTAAAACATTAAGATGTTTGTTGAAGATAACACTCTTTTCAAGGTTTACAGGATATTAAATTAAAATGCCCTTATGGTTAGTAATTTTCAATCCATCTTTTGAACACAAAAGTTACTTTTCACTAGTTAACCCTTGGAGTTCGACTGTCATATCAAAAACGTGCACCTCAATCCTGACTGGTTTACACACAGGAATGGTCCAATCGGTGTCAATAGGGCAATCCATGTAATGGTTTTCCTCATTCTAATCCAAATTGATTGAAGCATTTAAATAGCTAAAACTGGTAATACAAGGCTTTCGTGTTTAAATTTATATACATCTATAATACTGATGATTATTTGCGTGCTCTCCCTGTCCTCCCTTGCCCCAGACATAATGAAAAGTATTCCAGCTTTGAAAATAGTGTGACGATTAATTCTATATCTGAGCCACCCACTCTTCCATCCACTATTTTCACTGTACAAGATATATGCACATAAAAGCATTAATTATTGCATATATTTTCAATTCTATGTGAAACTGGCTGAGAATGCTGTGTGCACTCATTATATAACTGGGTTATAGTTGTGTACATGAAAACTTTTGAAAATATAGCCCTCTTTCAATGATCAACTGTAATTATTTTAACTCTGATTTAAAGCAAAAAGCTTGCTTCATGCAGCACAACATACAGTCATTAACTCACATCATTAGTTTACTGCAATATCTAATTTATTGTAATATGACAACATGAGAATTTGATCACCTTAATGCAGCGGTTCTCAGCTTGTTCAGGGAAAGCCCCTGGAGTGCTGGGCCGGTTTGTTTACCTGCTGCGTCCGCAGGTTCGGCCGATCGCGGCTCCCACTGGCTGTGGTACGCTCTGCCCGGCCAATGGGGGCTGCGGGAAGGGCGGCCAGCACGTCCCTTGGCCCGCGCCGCTTTCTGCAGTCCCCATTAGCCTGGAGAGGTGAACCGCAGCCAGTGGGAGCTGCGATGGGCTGAACCTGTGGACGCGGCAGGTAAACAAACCGGCCTGGTGCGCCAGGGGCTTTCCCTGAACAAGCAGTGGACCACAGTTGAGAACCACTGCCTTAATGGACTCAGCTGTACCCATCCTTTTGGTTAATAATATTTATTAAATCACCAGCTTTAATTTTAACAGTGAGGAAAAATAAGTTAAATTAAATGTAAAAAAAAAAAAACCAAAAAGCCCTCTTTCTCATCCAGCCTTTTCTCTTTGCCAAGTTTTATCTCACTAAATTAGCTCCTTTCTCTACAATGAATTTGCAGATCGAATATTTTACAACTTAATTTCTAATATGGAGGGAAAGATTTATATAATCGTATTCTAAACACACAGTTATTTCAGGAACATTGATAGTAAATCTGCTATCACAAGCACTGTTTCTCCCTCTAAAATTCAGAATTTAATTTAGAAATGTGCAGGTTTGATTCTGATCAGTTTACAGTAACTACACTGTATTTAGTAGAACTATTATTCAACTTTACGTATTCCTTTAATTCCTTTATTCCTACACTTTTCTGTCTGCTTATTCTATGTAAAGTTATCTCACCCCCTCCCCTCGAGGATCTTTAAGGTAGAACATGGGATACACAGTATATAAACAACCATGCACCATTACATAGGTGACGCTTGACTGATTTAATTCAACAGCAATTTCAGATCTGAGCAAACTATACACTCGAATAGAGCAAATCTAAATGCCCACAGTGCAATTTACATGAAGCTCAGCAGTGGAGAAACAATCTCCATCATTGTGTATTACACAGTAGCTGGTGCTGAGTTGGGAATAGGGAACAACTGTCTCAGGACAATCTGCTCAAGTTAGTGATCCTGCCACTTCTAATGACCCAAAACCTAATGCTTTTACACATATGCCATCAGCACTACTGGAGAGAATGGGACAGTGGATACTTTCTGGGTGTTCATATGCAAGATGAAGAACTAGAGGTCACTGAAAACTGTCACTCTCCTTATGCCTCTAAAATCCTGAGGGCAAAGCCAAAGCAAAACAAAAAGCCCTAAGCCAAGTGAAGCAGTAAGATCCTCTCTTTGCATATGTAGAGGACCAGGTGTGAAGTGGTCCTCATACTCTCAGCTGGTAGGATGGAAATATATGCTTTGCCTGATGGCAGAAGGAAAGGATACTTGTGCCAGATACATTAAGGAAATTGCTCAAGTACAATGTATTCACTGGTGAAGTCTCGATCCATAATGCTAGTAGCCTAGTATGATCTAGGCTTCCTTGTGTGGAAGCTACACAAATTAAGCCTGCACGCAATGCAATGCCAGCTTATGACTGAACTTTAAAAAAAACCACACCATTCACATCTTTTTAGCAGGTGTTTTATAGTCCAGGGGCCAATTTTTCCAGTGCACATATGCAAGATCCATGCAAGATCCAAAAAGTGCACAGAGCCAAATGTCCACATTTGTGCATGCAGTTGCCATAACTACGTATGCAAGTGGATAAACTGTAAAATATCCAGTTGGGGCACAACTGTTTAGATACTTTTGCATATTCATTTACTGCCATAGCATATGCAAATCAGTATGTAGATATATTAATACCCATTTTTGCACATAACTACAGTACATGCACACACAAAATCAAATCAAATATTGGCCACAAGTGTCTCCTAAAGGAGTTTGAGTCCATTAGCTACTTAGGATGCTTTTTTCCTCTAATTTAGCCTTCAAGTTACAGAAATTTTGACCTTGTGCAGGACACACTATAAATCTGATCAGATTAGAGTTCTTAATTGCCAATTAAAACAAGAAGAAATGAGGCATCCTGTGCCCCGCATATCTTTAAAGGATTGGAGGGAGCAATAACTATGGTTTCACCCAACACATATGAACACAAGCAGTGGGTGTGTGTGGTTTACATAAACAGTTGTACATACTGTACTAGTAAAGAACAGGCCTAGAACAGCATGAACCACATGTTTAAAAATGGAACATACTGAATTTATATCTTACATTTGTTCATTTGCAATAAATTGAGATCATAGTTGTTCTGGAAATTCTGTTAAGCTATTGATATTTGCTAAGAATCTGACATTAAATTGCATTAGTGATTGTTTCTGCCAAATCAAGAATTTCAAATGTATCATGATCACCTATTATTTTATAGGGAAAAAAAATCAAAGGGATTATGTCCAGGATTTAGATCACGAAAGTGACATATATTATATGAAGCTTAATCAGACAACCGTGAGAGCCGATAAAGTTAGTGGCAAGTCAGTGGAGAATGGCCCATTATGGAATTATTGAAGCAGACAAGCACATTATCACTACAACAAAACAACTTTACTGCAGTACCTTCCTCTCGCCACAGTATGTTTGCAACTGCAGCATCAGAAAATTGGGAAAGCCAGAAAATAATCAAGAAAAGAAAAAAAACATACAATGTCAAAATTTTCATTGTAGCAGTTAACTGAATTAATACTCTGATTTTAAGTGAACTCTTTAATTTGTGAAAACTTCATAGCATTCATCCAGGCAAAGTATTTAATTTGAATAAAACATCAGGAAAAATAGACATTTCCAAAGTCAAACTTCTCCTTGTGGGAGAGTCCTGCAGTCCTTGCACTGGTAAAATTCCCATTACAATGAATGTGAGTTTTGCCTGCACCAAGACTGTAGGATCAAGCCTTGATGTACAAAATGTTCTCCTGAATGTAATTGTAGGTATGGTACAGACAGTGATTTCCTGTACATTTTCATTAAGCAAGTATAACATCTTTCTGAAGCCTAGAAGAGATAGTTATACCAACAAAATGCTTTCCAGTATTTCCCCTGGAAATGTTATGCAACAACAGTTAGGATTCAAACAACATCCTTAGGTATATTAATTGAATTTCAGTTTGTAATATTTCAAATTATTTCTCACCAGGATATAATTTCCCTTGCCCAAAGGTTCAAGTGAAAGTGACTGATATTTGCAAGAATACACAATTCTACTAAATGAACCAAGTATTGCCATGAGTGTGTGTATCTATTGTTAACATCTAATTCAGAATGTGGTGTATTTTTGGGAGGTGACCTAAGCAGCCCACACCTGTACAATCTGCAGAACCTTTAGAAGCGTCATTTGCAGAAGCACTCTGGAGAATTACTCCAAAGTGGCAACCAATCAGCTCTTCCGATATTGCAATTTCATGTTGGGTAGTGCCAATATAACACTGCTGCACTCTAACTGAAGACAGTGGCTAAGATTTGGATGGCAAAATATTTGTCTTTGTTATGGAAAATAATCTTAATATTTTAAAACCCATTTTGCTTCTTTTCAATGTGATACAGGAACACGAAAAAATTCAAGCAATCTGAACTGATGACATCCCTTAAAGTTAAAACAGTTTCACAGATCACTATTCTAGGCATCCAATATTTGTCTATTTTGAGTATTAATTGTCTTGAAAAAGGAAAAGTCTGTACAAACAGAACAATGAAATTTCATTTTCCAAATCAGGCAATCGTTAGAAGAAATCTCTGGGTTGTAGTCTTTTACAGCCAAAAATATTAGCAATGTGTTACTTTAGTAAAGCTATCTATGCTTATATCTCAACACAACCCTAACACACAAAAGACCCTCAACGATGTGATACAGTAAGTCGTCTATCATACCTCATGTGATATCTTCTCAAAATAGAGCCTGATTCTGTAATCACTATGTGGGCAGAATTCACCCTAGCTTCAATGGGAGTTCCACAGATTGTGTGGACTGATTCCAGGACCAAGTTGTAATTGCAAATATGTGGACTAAAGAACACAAAGCAGATTACATTCAGGTTAGGCCTCTTCCTGTAAATCCTTACTAAGGCAACATTTCCATTGAATGTGTTAAAACTGATTAAAACTAAAGAGGGGAAATGGTAACTTCAGATAAACCACATAGCATTAGAACAAAAATAAACAGTGGGTTCCTAAAAAGATAAAGGAAAAATTAAGCTTACGAGTCTTCCTGGCTGAATCTTCGATGAAGAGAGACGATATGTCCTCATCCACTCCCACTTCATTTTTAGCAATGCATGTATAGGCACCGGTGTCTTCATATCGAACACTACTGATATGAAGTTCACTTCCATTTGCTGCAACGAAGACATCCATAAACTGTTCCTCACTGTGATAACACAGCTGTTCAAATGCCCTAGCTTCCTAAAGAGGCTTGTCATTACAGGCTTGCAAAGTGACAAGTTTTTACCTGTGAATATTTTCCATGTTTAAACTGAGATTTTGAGGAGTTTGTGGATTGCTAGAAGATGGAAGTGTTTTCTTTTCCTAGTGTCAAATACAGACTTACCACAAAGAAATAAAGTGAAATTCCACACCCAAACAGAATGCAACATCTCACTTATTTGCCTCGAGTAAAAATTTGTAAAATTCCCCCTTTTTTTTGGTGCACAAAATCATACAAATACTACACATTTTTTTCATCAAACCAATGAAAAGCTGATTTTTCACCATTTTAGCAGAGGGTGTGAATGTTTTCTACACAATCCCACCTATTGTGTAGTTCTCCTATAATGCACTATCATTTAAAATACCCTTTTAACCGTGTGTTAGGTGAGGTCTCATTTCGTTATATTTCTATTGCAAGTACAATTTACACATGATCCTGCTCGCTGTTAGCTTTTGAAAATGGGGGTCTAAAATTAGCAATGAGAAATAATTTCATTTGCAGATGTTAATCTGAAAAGGGAGATACATGAGTCTGAGCCTGATTCTCAATAGACTTGCATCTTGTGTAGTCATTTACACCTGTACAAAGTGAATGTAATATATTGCCTTTCTGATTGTCCCTGATTTAAACCATGAGCGAAGCAGTGGAGAATCGGGTACATTGTGTTTTAATAGAATGCTGTTATTGTTTATACCAAGCAACATTGTACTTTATGGAAAAGTCACTGGAGAAAGAGATAGAAAAAAAGAACAGAGGTCATGGAACATAATTTTCATACTTTTGTGACAGCAAAAGAAAAAGAACATCTATTTTTAGGTACAACATAAACCATTTAATTCCTTTTTTTTTTTTTAACAGTACATAAGTTAGCCAGAATTCTGTCCTTACCTAGGAGTGTTAGTTGTTTGGATAATTTTGGCATGATATCAATGCCATTTTTTAGCCAGGTAATTCTGGGATTAGGAATGCCTTCTGCGTGACATTTGAGACTTGCGGATACGCCAGGTTCCTGTGCCTGAGTTTCGGGATATACACGAATCACTGGTGGCACTGTGGAAATAAGGAATTGGTGATTTTAAACTAACCTGTCAATTGTCATTTCTCTTTGTGCTTTGTAATCCACTGACTTTGATCTCTGTTGTAGAAAAAGCCTGATCCAAAGGATTGTGAAGTAAACAACATTCTCTTTTCCATTGTAAACTAGAGTTAAGGTTGCAGTGTAGAAAAATCATTACTGTATTCTGTTGAGTGAATCAAAACAAAAATGCTCCAAAATTAACTTCAAGAGGTTATCCTTGAATCTGATTTTGTAGTCAAATCACCTTTGATTTTTTTGTTCACTAAGGCCTTAAACCAACTCCGACTGAAGTTATTGGAAAGACTCCCATCAGCTTCAATGAGAGTCGCATTGGGACCTAAGGATTACTCATGTGCTTAAAGTTAAGTATGTGCTGAAATGCTTTGCTGGCTCAGGGCCTAACGATCTTGCTCTCTAACATAAACTGGAAACATTGCCCTGAAATTGGTGGGAGCAGAATTGGATTCTCTGCCTGCACTTATTCAACAAAAGGCATGCAACTATTCAATATTTTTAATTATTAAGAATGAATTAAAATAAAATTGCTTAAATATTTACTACATAAGATTCTGAGCAAGTAGGCTATTTATAAATTATTGATTAAGTTGGAAGGTATCAAAAAATTGACAGTCTCTTGCAGGAAGCATTTGTGTACTGATTGGAAGAACTACTAATTATATTACAATTTCAAACAAGTTAATTGATTTTGAGTCATGTTGCGATCATTGCTCAATTCAACAAACCTTAGTATTACCCATTAACCATTCCTTCACTATCTACTCTGGTATGTTTAAATATTTTAAAATAATTTCATAAGTGTTTTTAAGTTTTTAATTATTTAGTTTTTCAGATAGGAAATTTTGGGAGTCAATGAAGTAACAGTTTAAAGACTCGCAATTCTGTAGGATGCATAGGCCCCAGGATGATAAAAGTACCTTCATCTAACAGCTGGTATAGAAGGAAACACCACCAAATGAACCTTATCTACGGCTTGTTAGGGTGCTTGATATCTGTCTTGGGGCAGTTCTAGTAATTAAGTTCAACAACACGCTCCTTAAAGCGTCTTTTTGATGAGCATAACTAGTGAGAGAAGATTCCATTCTCTTTCCCTTGCCTACTAGGTACCTAAAATGGGTATTGAGTTATCACCTCTGAGTAATCTTTTCAATGGAGTCAGACATGAAAGCAAGGCTTCAAGTCTGATTTTATGGATTTGAAAAAGACTGTTCAAGTGACTAGAGGCAATGAAGAAAAAAAACCACTCCAGAATTTACAACAAAGGAATGTTTTTAGAGTCTACCTATGCATTGGGTATTTAGATTCATTTTATTTCCTATTCATAAAAAAAGCACAGTGCACCATTAGTGCCCTGTCATCCATGGCAATAAGTAACACAAACCACAAGTACTTTTAACCAGACTGACAAGCTTAGTTTCTGACCCTGCCAAGTCTACTAATCATAGTCTGTCTAGAGGTATAAAATTGTTTAGATTTCATATTTCAAGAGAGCTGTGTGTAGAGGCTACTATAAAAAGCAAGCTTAGTTTTAGTCAATTAACATTAGAAGGGTGCAGTTCCTAAACAAATGGATTTATTGGCATTTGACTTAATCCTCCTCCTATTAAAATCAATGGCAAAGCTCCCATTGACTTCCGTGGGTGTAGGATCAAGCCATAGGATAGGAAAGATACATATTTTCTAATATAAATTATCCTGGGTTTTTTCAGCCCATTTCCTGCTCAAACGGCCTTTTAACTTTTGACTGCTCAAAGGACACTGTTGTGATAGGGATCTCCAAGCATGTCTGATGATTTCAGATTTTATTTTGGCATGGCAATTGCTGGATTTCTTTTGTTTAATGCAAAGCCTTAGGGTTAGATGAAGGCACACTACTTAACAAAGCTGAGACTTACTGGTCTCATCAGTAGGCTGCAAGCCAGAAACTCCTGAGCAACAACCCCAGTCTTGATATCAATTCCCCATGTAGCTTTCAACAAACCCTTTAAAGTTCTCTGATTCAGTGTTCCCACCTGTGAAATACATAATCACCTCACTGAACTTTTATGAAGACCTGGAGTGCAGTGTTTGTTTCATGGAGACACACAAAGGGTAACATTTTCGAAAGAGCCAAAGTGATTTAGGAGCTCAAATCCCATTTTCAAAAGCATCTAAGAAGCCTAAGTCCCATGACAGTCAGTGAGGTTTGTTTTGATTCCTAAGGGCTAGATTTGCTAAGATATTTAGCCTCCATGCAGATAGTTGCCTTGTCGGACTTTCAAAAGCACCTAAGCAAGTTAGACACCTGTCAACTGGCACACAAGCATTTTGAAAAGCCCACTAGGCACCAATCTTCTTTGTCAGGTGCCTAAATGCCTTTGAAAATCTGCCCTTTAGAAGCCTGAGTTTCACTGAAAGTTAACGGGATTTAAGCTCTTAAGTACCTCACTTCTGAAAACAAGACTTTCGCTCCCAAGTCAGTTAAGTGTTGCAATGCTGAGCAAAGAAACACTGAGATACCTTTAAAAATCTGGGCCTAATTCACTTTTGAAAATGGGACTTAAACTCCTAAGTCACTGAGGTGCATGTGAAAATCTTACCCTAAATCTAGTGGTGCTGTCTCAAGCAATCATTCTTTAACACATTCATAGCACTTTCTGAATATTACCCAGTTACCACTCACAAAAGCTGTGTAGATTGATTAGGTGTCATTGTACTCTATTGTACTACATCATTCGGGGATTTATCCAATTCCCATTTAAGTTAATGACAAAACTCTCACTGACTTCAAGGGTGCATGTTTAAGCCCTCTATGAACAGGGTACTAATGAACAAAGCAGAGGTTACTTGGATCTTCCTATTTCTTCACGTTGCTTACTTGGATTAAAGGCATTCACGTACTTTATTAGCAACCAGAGACTAGAACAAATTTACACTGCCAAATGTAGCCACTAGGTATCCTAGGCACTGAATCAATGTACAACACTAAAACTGGCTTAATTTGAAATTATGGCCTGCTGCACATCTTTCTCAGAATGGTTAATAAGGGAATCACATTACTCTCTCACCTTCAAAATAAAGAGCATCTACTCCTGCTTTTTCCCCACACCTTGCTTCCTCTGGCCCCATTTTAACATTTATTGCCTTTCTCGTTTCTCATCCTAATTCATTATACAGGCAAGTCATTATGTGCAACTGGTTTATGATAACCGGTAAACTACAGACTGCATTTCTATTGTCCTTGCTACAAATTAGTACTGTCCAGGTAAGCACATTTGTTCTTAAACTGGCAAAGATATCAGCGTAAGACTTTGGAATATATGGACTATAGTTTGCCATTTCCCTTTGTGAATATATATCTCCAAAATGATACTATGTCTACAGCAAAAGGCAACATAAAAATGCCATTATATTAAACAAAGTTGTAAAGGAACAGGACTCATGCAATAGAGAGATTCGCTAAATAGACTTGTCTGCAAAGGGCCTGATTCTGCCATCCTTACTCATGCCGTCTTACGTTGTGAGTAGACCCATTCATTTCTGTAGAAGAGCTCACAGTAATAAGGTGCAAGTCGCTATGAATAAGGATGACCAAATCAAGCCCCAAAGCAATACATTGCTGCTATAGTATATATGTGCTTTAGTGATTATTTTAATGAATGGATTAATCATTCCTCATATGTTTTAATTCTTTCAGTTCGCAAATGAAAAGGCTCTGCAGCCCTCTCTCTTTTCAGTTAAATGCCACACAACAAAACATTGCATTGTTCAAAACATGTCTCCACTGCTGGCAAATTTTCCTAGAGGATCCTCATAATTGAGCTGAAGAGCCAACTACCTATGGAAACTGTATTCAAGGAACACATTATTGTGAGTTATGCTGATGTTTTTCAGAGCATAGAAACAAAGGAAAATTATTCTCTACACCCAGCGGTCTCTTGATTTGCAAACTATCAGTTTTTGTAGCTGATTACAATTTTACAAGTGTCTTTATCCTCAGCAAAATCTTTTTGTTAGAAATGATAAACTGCTTTTTCTCCCACTAAACTCAACATATGCAGTACAGAATTTTCATGTGATTTCAGGAAATGGAAAAGAAAAAACATTTCCAAGTACTCTTCCTATCAAAGATCTATTTGCAAGGACAATGTGGATGGATTGGTTTTAATTTTAGATCCTTCAACATGTTCATTTCTTCATAAGACATTAGGAGCAAGCTAGTGTATGTATATTTGCTCTCTGCTTTTGCCACTGCTATACAAATCATGAGATACAGACACATCAGATCACACGTTACATGTGCCACATAGCCACTACATATGGTGTTGAGATTTTTGTGGCAGGTGCCTTTATGCTTGTGGCATAAAGGATGTTAGCTGACATAGTTTATCCAAGCCTGTATATCCTTCCTTGTACTAGCTTTCTTATGCATACACATCAAAACTAGCATCAGACTTTATTTACATTTCACTGTTAATAAACTCTTTGACCATGTCATTGGTGGTATTTCTAAGTGTGCCTTAGGTAAAATGTGACCACGATTCATCACTGAATTTGGTCTGCTGGTTGGATCATTAGCTTCCCTGGTCTGGGCTAGGTACCAATGGGGAGTGTGATGTGAATGCTGATCAGTTCCCCCCAAGCCATATTAATACTGCATATGTGGAAATGCTAACCATATACCACCCTTGATGTTCCCTATGAGAGGGGACTCACAGTCTAAACTGGAAGTCAGGAAATGCGGGTTTCATTCCCGGCTCTGCCACTGACTTTCTGCTTGACCCTGTGTCATAAATATAAAGGGAAGGGTAAACCCCTTTGAAATCCCTCCTGGCCAGGGGAAAGCTCCTCTCACCTGTAAAGGGTTAAGAAGCTAAAGGTAACCTCGCTGGCACCTGACCAAAATGACCAATGAGGAGACAAGATACTTTCAAAAGCTGGGAGGAGGGAGAGAAACAAAGGGTCTGTGTCTGTC